GAATTAGTGAGAGCTAATGGCTGGAAGGTATAGTGGTTCCAGACTGCGAGATCTCGGCATTTTTCGAATAAAATAAAAGGTACAAACAGCACGCTTGCGGTAGACAATGATTACCTAGTAATTAGTTTACACAAAGCTTCCTATTTAATGGCAAAACGCTGTAATTAACGCGTGACAGAAAATCAAAGGGTACTTTGTAAGCATATGAAAAATTAACACTGCAGGCCTATAGCTTTATGTACTGATTAGAAGCATATTAAATCAATAGGACATACAAACCCCCAGCTTGCATATCTGATTATTGCAGGGCTCGGGAACGGATATCATGGCTTTAATTGAACCAGGGGACACAATTATCCTGCTTTATTTTACTTGGGGTTTGAGAATCACCTGAACCATCCCTATGGCAGCTCCACAGATAGATTAATAAGCTAAGAGCACTGCAGTCTGTTTGCAGATACGGTGAATATTTAAACTGTTTAGGATATATTGTTGGCAAAGCATTGCCCGTACTACACCAACCTGCAGCGGCGTCGCTTCATCAGTAACCAAGGTCTTCCTTAACTCTTTGGGTTCTTTCCTAATAAGACACAGCAGTCAGAAGAAATGTTAAAAGCCTGTCAAAACGCTGCAGATGCATCTTTCGCCTTATCTGCCAGAGTTTCTGGCCCTCTTCAGGCTGAGGAAAAAACCACACCTGCAAATCCGTGCGCACAACGACGGCAGCACCAAAGGCTCCTTGTCTTGGCAATGCCACGTTTCTAAAATGACAGCTTTGACAGTATTGTGGTTGGTTTTATTTCGACCTGTTTATGAATATACCCTCTTTGCTCTCAATTCCTTACCTCAGTAAAGAAACAAGAGGGGCTTTGTGAGCCTCACATTTCTCAGAGTGAATGCAATTCACTCAACCAGTTCAAAATCTCCCCACTACTCCTGCTTTTCAGATAATCATAAAGTTTACCTATTACTTATTACAGGACTTTGAAAGTGGAGCTACAATAAATGTAATATAAAGGAACAGCCAGCATTTTGCAGCATTTTATCTCTGCAGCCTTCAAAACTCTCATTTCCCAATAGCAATCAATGCAAACCCCAGCAATCGGTGTCTGAATATTGGTTTGTGCAACCCAGACCCAAAGTTGGATTTTCCAGATTTGCCACCTTTAGAAAAGATTTTGATTTCCTCCCACACATTTTAGTGCATTAACCAAGACATCGTCTGTAAGGAAAAGAAACGGTGGCAAAACACTGTGACACGACTGCAGGCAGGAAGACTCAAGCACACCCACATTTAAAACAGTTGGCTGCCCAAGTGCATTGAATGGCTTTTTTCTTCTACAACAGCTATCTAATGGAGAGTTTTGAGATGGTTGCGTGGTTATAGCCAATTACAAAGGCTTATTGAGAGAATATTTGTTGCTTGGTTTCCTGTGTCTTGTTCTGCTCCTGTATTTTCAGCTCTTTTCTTCTTTATCCTCGCATTTATACCTCTTTTTTTTTGTCTCCAGGCTGACCCATGTTATCTTTAGGATTGCTGATGGGTGAACTCACATCATGTTGCTGACAGTGGTCACAAGGGGATGTCCAGGAAAGTGTAAAGCCACAACAAGCATCTCCATTCCCAAAATACTGCCCCAGCCTCCAAGAATTTGCAGCTCAGAAACCTTCTAAGGCAGAGACTGCGTCAGCAATAAAAGTTAATTATGGTCCATATAAACATAGGTGAGATTTTCCAAAATCTGGTGACTTTCAGCAGTGAGATACCCAGCTGCTGCTTGGCATACTTTGAAATACCATACATTAATCAGTGTTATGGATATCTTTATCTAGATACTCTGAACAGGCCCTCACTCAAGCATTGTCCTGTTGTTTTCCACTTACTCCAGTAGTAGTACCACCACGTTTTTTGCTCTGCATGGACTAACTGAACATTGAATTAGTACAGAAATTAGGTTGGAAAACTGTAACAGAATAGCATAAGAGCATTTCATACAGCGTAAGTGATAAACAGTTAAAAACCTGTGAGTTTTTTTGCTCCCTACAACACTCATCCACATTGCAAGACACAGCTGAACTGCTGAGGTGTCTCTGTACTTACTGATGGTTTTTGCAGGTAACTAGGGCCAGATCGTGGTGTTTGTTCTCCCACTGGAGATGTCTGCACAGAGGCCTCACGGTTGCCAATTGTGCACTCCTGGAGGCAGCAGATCTCTCGATATCAAACCTGAATTTGTTTCTGTGCTGCCAGACTCAAGCAGCGCACAGCGGGATAAGGCCTTGCATTCGGCGGAGTTTGTGAATTCTGCCCCTCATGCACTTGCAAAATAATTGTTCAGATAACTCAGACGCCGCATTAAGTTAACAAGGTAAAACACATCAGTAATCCCGTCCTGCACTTTTCTTTGCCCAATGTTATGTTTGAAATGAGGACTCAAAAATCAGTCTCATTTTCAGACGGAACAGATTTTTACACAGTTCAAACTCACGCACTACATTATTTCTCATCTCTTGCCTACTACATACCAACGAGGCAAATCTGGGTATCACGTCTTAAACTGCTATGCAAATGATGCTATTTGTAAGTATTAACATAATTTAGTGCTTACAGTCATATTCTCCTTTCTAATAATTCCACCAGAATGGAGAGTCTTTTCCCGGTTCTCTTAGCCTGCAGGACAGTCTTTCATCAAGAAGCTGGATTTTTTAATAAGCTGCCAGCATCCGTTTTGTGTGTGGCAGCCTCTGCCGATGACACGATGTCTTCATTATCAAAAGAAACAGGTCTACGTCGTGTAATAGGACGTTAAAGCATGCCTGTGCTCATAAACTAAAGCTTTGATGTTGAACTGTGTAGCATTACAATGGTATTCCTTAACAAAGGATGATTTTAATCCTCTGCTCTCAATGGTAATACTCAGTGGAGACTGCAATTCATTACATATAAAAAAGGTCTCCCGCGCTACAAAAGAGCGCTAAACTCAGAAGGCAGCAATATTTGAGTGTGCATTTTCAAACAAGACCTTCGAAATGGCAGCAAGTTTCCCACGTTGCCAAAGCCCACGTCAATACTGGTCTGGGTTTATGGGAGCTTTCCTGTTGACTTGAGGAAATCAGCCCCAATACCTTATCCTGCTTGGATTTTCCATCTTTCCATCATTCTGGAGTGTTCAGAGAAGAGCCACAAGGATGGGGAGGGCTCTGCAGAACAAGCCTGATGAGGAGCGGCTGAGGGAACTGGGGTTGTTTAGCCTGGAGAAGAGAAGGCTGAGGGGAGACTTCATCACCTCCCCCAACTGCCTCAAGGGAGCTTGGAGAGAGGTGGGTGCTGGTCTCTTCTCCCAGGTGATGGGGGAGAGAACAAGGGGAAACGGCACCAAGCTGTGCCAAGGGAGGTTCAGGTCAGAGATAAGGAGGAAGTTCTTTACTGAGAGGGTCGTCAGAAGCTGGAACAGGCTGCCCAGGGAGGTGGTGGAGTCACCATCCCTGGATGTATTTAAAGAGCGGGTAGACGAGGTACTTAGGGATATGGTTTAAGGGGTAGACAGGAGTGGTTGGACGTGATGATCTCAGAGGGCTTTTCCAACTGAGTGATTCTGTGTGATTCTGTGAACCACTTACCCATGAAATATTAAAAAGGCACAGAAATAGGAACCCTAACACTAACACTGGGTAATACCAATTACACTGGGAATTTACACCAGCAAAGAACCAGACCAGGTGACTGGTGTCTCCTGCCCAATTGACTCCAATGCTGGGAGCAGGATCTGGATAGATTTTCTATGCTTTTTGTCCCAGAGAGCCCAGTGGCCAGACAGAGCTTCCACTGGGATGGCTCACCAGTGCCCTACGTTATACTGGTTAACTTATGCAGAGTGAGGGAACTTCAGCAGATCAGAGAAATTCACCCTTCAGCTTTACATGATAACCTCTATTTTATAATGTGGAATTCGTTTGCAGTTGTCAAATGCAACGGAACTGTAATCGGCACAATTTGAAATTTTAATGGACAATATAATTCAATCAAACAAAAATTTCAAAACAGTTTTGATTGAATTAAAAAAAAAATCAAAAGAGCCGTAATGGGTAGCTTATGCAAATGAAACAATTCTTTCTGGATACGTTCCTTCCGGCTTTAAAACCATTACATTAGGAATGAACTTGGCACGATATAGAGAAATATCAAATGCTTATTGAAATTAAAACATTTAAATACCAATGAATATTTAAAATACAAAGAGTTTTCTGAGCGGCAGAACTAATGAACTCCAGTTTCCTATGGATTTTTCTGTGGTTGAACTTTATCCTTCTACCGCCTTTCTCAACCACGGGGATTCTTTGGGATCTAGCAGTGCATCAGTTCATGCTATATGGTTTCCCTCAGTTAAAAATGTACAGGATCGTGGATAGGATCCTTACCTAAACACCCACTGCAATGAAAAATGCAGGAGTCTAAGGAGCTCTGAGACCTCAAGTGTCCTGTCTTATACAGCTGAACACAGCTTCAACAGTTATTATCGAGGAAAAATGTGTATGATCCTTAGAAAGCCAGATTAAAAAGTAACCAGTCTGTATGTGGTTTCAAATGGGTTAGTATTGTGCAACTACATTTGTCCAACACTGTGTTCCAATAATCCCAAGTTTCTATGTAGATAAGAGGTTCTGTTGCCTGTACACTTTCCTTCATACATGTCTTCACTTTGGATAGAGAGCGCTATGTAAAATTTCACATTATTGCATACGAAGGAAAGGTTACGGCACCCAACTTATTCCACAGTTGGATGCCAGGCATTCATTTCTGTTTTGGAATATTTAACTGTTTTATTTCAATTCCTGTTATCTATTACTGTGTGCAAGCTAGTCTGGATTCTGTAATAGCAGCTGTTACCAATGACTGAAAAATCAAAGCTCAGAGAAAAGATTTACTGCAAGGAGGAACCCCGGTTGGCTACGAGGAAGCAGTGACAACCAACAGGAGACCCTGCTCCTCTGTTACTTACACGAGCCCACTTCTTACTCCACGCCTCGGGGCTGTGCCTCTGCCGCTCCTTCTGAAGCCACTGGTAGCACTTCAGATGGGAGACAACGTCGCAATAGGCCGTGCCGTTTCCTCCAGACTCATCGTTCACTTTAAACAACCAACACCGCACGTCCGTGTTGTCAACGATGAGCTGGCTGAGAGCCCCGACCAGCTGCGGAGCAACGACAAAGACATTTTGCACTAGGACAGCATTAAATTGTTGAGTAAACTCTTCATTTAGACTGCCAGATCTCAAATATTTGGACTTGACATTTATTCTCTAACCATGGTTTCTGAGACGCTCGTGTTGGTACCGTTATCCTGGATACCCTGAAGAATCCATGGTCTTACTTGAGTCCGCTTGGGCAGACACCAACCAGAAGCAGAGAGCCTTTGGTGGTCACTGGAGCTGTGTTCTGCAGAGGGGAATTTGCCTCTCTGGGCCTTTTTGTCCGATCAGGATCTTTGATTTTGGATAATCTCAGTAAATGTTTGTGCCGGGGAATGCCATGGGTATTATTTGCATTATTTGCAAAATCTGACAGACAGTTGTGCCAGATTCTAAAAGCAGCCAAAACATCTGTGAAATTCTCCTACTGGAGAGTGCATTATGTGGTTATAAATGTAGGAAGGAGTTACCAGGCAGGCTTTATAAAAATGCTAATTATTTATTTGTGTATGTACACAGATTTAAATGGCTTTAAAATGCCTTTTGCCCAGCTGGTGTAGGATGCAATTAGCTTCTTAGAAACTGCAAATGCCTTTGAACCTGGTAAAAGTATTATCAGCTCTTGCTGCATTAGCTACAGCCTTCTATGCTTTTACATAGGAATTCTGGGGACTTCTGTTGATTTTTTGTAAACGTTGACCTAAAATACAATTACATGTGTGTTCCAGATGTTGTTATTTGTGGCTTTTGAGAATTGCCTAAGTGTGGTTTTCTTGATTGCTCCCCTACAGTGATGAAAAAGTCGATAATATTGTAAGGACTGTACCAATCCAAGAATTATGTCCTATCTTTAAGTGAAAATTGAATTGTGCTTTAACATAGCGTCACCTGCTTTGATTATTTAACCTAAAATGTCGATATTTCATACAAGCAAACAACAGAACTTCCCTGACACTGTAGTATGAATCAAAAGTATTTGATTCACATCAATTATTTAACAATAAATCAAGCAGTTTTTCAGATCATTGATCATGTATTTATTTCATCTATGGATGTTGCAATGTATTTGTGTAGCTTGGATTGTTTTCATTGCTAAAGGTGATTAATAAAAGGCAAAGCAACGTGGAAAGCCTCTTTAAGAAGTAGGAATACCTACAAACTACGTCACTGATTCTTTTTCTGTAGAAGATGTAGCACCACCATAAAAATATATTTAAAAAAAATAATCAGTACAGGTCGTACTTAGACACATCACTGCAAATTGCAAAACTGCTTAGGGAATGAAATACTGAGGCACTGGATGCAAAATAAACAGATATAAACTGAACAGTACAGAAAACTCTTGTGCCTTGTAATTTTAGTTTAGTCATCTTTTTTCTTTTCTTACTGGTCACACTAACAAGATGGGTGAATTTAGCAACGATAAACTGGATAAAGTAAAACTCCAGTTGCAGAAATGCTCAGTGAACCTCAATTTGTATAGGTTGACTGCCTAAGTGGAAGGAATTCATCAAATACTTCATTTTCCCAGAAATCTTTGTTGTATTTTCAGTCACTGGTAAAACTCCTATTAACTTCATTGAGGCCATGACTTCATCCATGGAGCAGCCACACAAACTTTGAAGTAACTGGACCAAATGCCTTTATGTATCCTCAAGAAGGACCATGAGGAACACCAGGACAATTCAATACTTCCTCACCAGGATACAAATTGCATTTAATTGGTCAGACAGAGGCAAAACCAGGACCCAACCTTATCTGTGATTTAATGAACCCCAGGTAGGATCTCATCCACCCAGTTGCTGCAGTCGTGCAATGTTTGCAACCCATCAAGTGAAGGCAGGGATCTGGACAGTGGCACACTCCAGACCGTGCCCTGCTTACCTGCTCCTCGCTGTAGATGTCAGCTTCTCCAGGAGGGGTTGGCACACGAGCACTGCCAAAAATCCGTTTACTTCCAGACTTGGTGCTGTAGAGCTGAGCCACTTCCGGCTCCGAGCCCAGGATGGGCACGTTCAGCAAGTCAGCCACCGCTAAATCATCTTCGTGGGGAACCCCTCCGATAATGTAGGCATCTCTGCTCTGGATCAGGGTTTGGATTCTTCTGATTGTCTTGGGACTGTACTTGAGCTGAGTGGCCAGGCACATGTGATGCTTCTGGATAAAGACAACATTATTCTTGTTAAAAGGTGTTCTTTTCTATTCCATGAACCTAATTTCTAATGTCGCACGCAATAAATACATTATTAATAGCAGGCTGGGTTATGACCTATCCTGTAGCTTAGCAGTTTAAATTGATAAAAGCTGTTGGGGTGAGGCTCCATAATCGTGCACATCTTTAGTGTGTTGGAAATGGCCTCGCTGGGAATAGAACTAATTACTACACATCTGTATTTATTTGATCCATGCGGAATTATCCTTCTGTCAGTCGGCAGAGAGGCTGGTGGCCTTTGGATAATAGTGATTCATCTCAGCAACACTTCTGGCATGGTTTAACTCTAAAGCTCCTCAAAATCAATACAAAAATGAAGAAAAACCCCTATAGCCGGGAATGTATTTCACCATACAGTTCAGCAGTATTTGAAGCGATTCTCCGAGAATAAAACACTTTGATTTACAAAAGCTTTCATTGATCACATTAAATTACTGGGGAGATACATTTCCATTACACGGTAGTTCTGATAGCTACTGTAAGTGCAACTGCAAAGTACTCAAGGAGAAGGTAGTGGTTTTGTTGGTTAAAGTACACAGGTTTCAACTTATTAGGAGGAATTTTTAATTTCTTCTAAAAAAAAAAAAGATCTATTGCTGAACAAGCTGTTCATGACAGATGCTATAACCTCTAAATTTAAACTAGGGATATTAGTCATGGCAGGTGGAACCTCAGAAATATTTTCTACACCATATCCTATGCATGGCCTGCAGGTAATGCAATTATCTTTCCAAAGGTGTAGCTAGAGGTCACTGAGGTTGAGACAGACAGGGACGGACATCATGCAGAAAAAGTACAAGAGACATCCACAGAGACTGCTGTAAACAAATCATAATTGTAACGAGAAGAAAATCTTCACTTTGAGATTTCATCTAATTTAAGCCCTGGTCAGGAAAGTATTCCCTTCCAGGATAGCATAAATACTGGATTTACTACAGATTTGCAGGACTGGAGAGCCCAGAATATTTTCCTCCAAAGCCTTGGATGCTCCTTTGCAGGGACTGAAGAATAAATCCCAGCTCTACTACTTGGATGGGGTCAATGGTGAAAAGGGAAGTGGGGAGGCCCTGGAAGCAGACCGAAGAAATCCCCTTTTGTCAAACCCTCGGTGCTTTCTCAGGCCAAACACAGCTCCAAAAAGCACCCAGGTCTCTCTGTAAGGAGGCAGACATCTGCAAATACAGTGAGGATGCAAGTCAAGGAGATGCTCCTCAAAGTTCCAGCAGGAAAAAGGGGAGTCACAGAATTATAAGAGCAAAAACTACTACAGATAAGTTTCCTGAAGTCTTTTTCCTTCCATCTGTTTTAAAATCAAGACTCTCAATGTTGTGATTCTTTGGTTTCCTTTCTCCTGAGCGCTGGGGTAAAAGCAGAGAGGTGGAGACCCCGTCCTGTGGGTCTCGTGGCAGAGTTCTGCCATGGAGAGAGCAGGATCAATTTCCAGCCCCGGTCACTCGCTCCCTGGGGCCACGAGTGGTGATGTAGGGACGAGATTTGCTTTGTGTCTCTCAATAATGGATTTTACAGTTAATTAAAGAGTGCAGCAAACAGGCTGTAAAATCTAGTTCATTCCTGCTTCGAGTTTGCGATGGCTGCCGTGATATATAGTAGTGCAAGCGAAAGCAGGTAAAAGCAGGAAGACTGAGAAATCCTAGGGATTCCAGCACGACGCTGCACAAAACAGTGGCTAGCAGGTTAACCAAAAGGCTCGCTCTTGGTTTGCAAGCCTGTTGATATTATTTTTTTAAACCTCCCTCACCATGATGAGCAAAGCTACACCACGGTGCTGTTTTGGTACCTGCTAGCTGAGAATCAGGCCTTTGGTGTAAGCCTCTGTTAGAAGCCTCTCATGTCATGCCTGGATTCAGTGACTCGCAGGAGGTCATTTTAATAGCAAATACCTAAGGACAAGCATAGATGGACATAAGGTGGCCTTCAAGCCACACTTTTATACATTAGGAATAATTTTAGATACATATTAGGTACAACAAAAGCTTTTTATTTAATAACCTAGAAGAGAGATGCTTAAAAAGAACCTATAAAGCTCTAACCCTTACACAGACAAAACGACAGCTGAATCCATGGCGAGTGAAGCCACGGGGTAACTAGGACCAGTTCTGGGTACAGATCCTCCTCCACACTAAAGATGCATTTCTTGGAACCAACAGCTAGCAAGAAATGTTGGTTGGACTGTTTCAACAGAAATGGGGAGAGTGAAGGCTACACACGAGATGTATGCCTGAAAACAACCTGCTTTTGTGTTAAAGCTACTTCAGCCACATCACCATGACCAAACTCAGCCACGAAAGCCGTTTTCCATTCCTGATCAGCCAATCCAGCAGGAAATCTTTTATCCATAACAGGATTTGGTTTAGATCTTTTTAGCATGTAGAAGGCTTCTTAAATCTTCCAATATTTAGTATTTATCACTGGAAAAATAACCCAGTATCCAGAGGAAAAAACAACTGCAATGGTCAATTTAAAAAGAAAAAATATATCCCTGGTATTTATCAAGGATTTACCATCCCAGGAATTTTACTTTACAAGGTGAAGGCCTAGCACAGGCAGCTGTGATTCTTGTTGGGTTTGCAGTACTCGGATAAAAGGACAATACTAAAGAAAAGCCAGCTCCTAAAAATACAGATATCATCCCGATGCTTTTTCCCCAGCTTCAGAGGCGAGAGAACACATTCAGATCTACAGAATTCATTTTAGCCATGGCAAAACTATCAGACAGCTCTGACAAAATAACTAGGAAAGAGTTACTAATATTTACCTAAAACAGGAGTAGGCCTTCAAGCATCGACCCTTGAGATATAGAAGGTAGCACAAGGTTTCATAAAAACCAAATCTCAGCTAAGACATTGTGGACTTATTATTTACAATATAAAATTATTCTCCAACTGTAAAGAGTCCCCACTGCACTGCAGCATTTTCAGAAACACTGCATGTGCTGTACGTTATAAAGGTCTCTTTTTAGACCACGTTTTAGCATGTGGATTTAAAACTGACCTGACGTGTTTGGAGCTACTATTTCTATATTACCCAAGTAGCTTTAAGTTCTGTTCTTTAAGAAGCTCTGCGTTGGATTTAATTGCAAGAACCACCACAAACACATGAATGATTGAATGCTGGGCTACCCAGAGATAAAGTTGGAGTAATAAGAATGCTTTATTGCTATGACTTGCTTAGAGATATAAATCTATCAAGTTCCCAGTCCCAAGCATATAGTAAGAAGGGACAGTGGCCTACAAAGAGCCAATATAGAACTATCTCAACTAAGTCTATAAAGCTAAACCGGGATATTTATTTCCAATGCTCTAACTAGTAGTCTAATCAGTAAAGCCCTTAAACTTGCAATAATATTTCACTGATGTGTACCAGAGCGTTACAAGTTATAAAATTTCCAATTTAATTTTACTGCATCCCTCAAGCTGTAGTAATTAGAAGACAAACTCACAGGGAAGCTGTTTATAGCTTCAGGGGTGAGAATTTTGAACCTGTCCTGCAGGTCAGCCATGTCCTCGGGCTTCCCAGACCTAACAGCTGCCCGCAGACCCAGGAGTTTATTGTAATACTGCAGTAACTCCTCGCTCAGGCGAAGGGGGCAGATGTAGATGACGTCCACGTTGGCATCTAAAACAAAGGGGCACAATGTTCATTACTGGAAGAAAGGTAGATTTTGTTCAGAACAGCGATCTGACCATTCCTGATGGGTCGCCACCAAACAGCTTCCCTTAAAATGCACTGGAAATAAAAATGAGGTCTGTAATTCCCAAATCTTAGCGGTTTTACTGCTTTTTCTGCTCTTCAGCATTTCTCTGAAGACAGGTCAGCAACCCAAAGAAACAGCTAGTTTTCGGAATTCAATCTGCAGAACATATTGGGGGCAGAATTTTGAACGCGTGGCAGGGGGATTTATACGCGCGACTCACATTAACATCAATGGGAATTGCGCGCCGCTTTAAAAAGATATCCCATTAACTTCAGTAAATTATAAAACGGAGCTATTCCGTTTAGAAAGCTGATGAAATTGCAATTTCCTACGCCGCCTGGATTTTGCATGGCCGGTTCCTATTCTTGTCCCGTCCACATAAAAGCTCACGGTAGGACACCATTAATAACCATTGCTGGGCGCGTGAGTGTGCAGATCAGCCAGTTAAATACCACAGGGTGAAAACCTGGGTGTCTGCACGTAAAACAACTTGGGCTGACAGACAGCGTAAACACAAACACTTCGAGGTGAGAAAGTGCCAGTCTTTAATAGATGCTGGTTTGGAAAATTGTAACTACTCCGCTCTCCTGAAATATTCATGTGAATAGATGAGCTAATGAATTAACGGGCCTCGCAACGTCAATAGGATATGCTGCCAAAAAGCACTCCTGGATTTTGATCCAGCTCCCGCTGAAGGCAGTGGGAAATCTTTCATTGTCTTTGCTGGGCACAGGAACAAGAGCCCTGAAAGTGCCAGGGACAACGGCTATCCCCTGTGAATGCATCAGAAGTAAACCAAGCATCGGACTGAGGAAAGCCCGAGCCTCACGTTATAAAAGAATACATAAAAGATGTCCCAGCTCATTCACTTTGCTTTTTGGCCGTACTGCCACAGGCAAGCAACCCACATTAAAAATGTAAAGCCCAGAATGTCAACTGCAGCATTTTGCAATACAGCATCCAACAAGCAGCCCTGGATCTGAAGCCCCGACAGAGCCTTTATGTGGTAATGAACTGTATGATAAAAGTTTTAAAAATAATTAAAAGAGCCGTGCATTAGAGCTGTTAGTCAATGCCTCGCTTTAAGGCATTGACTCAGACTGGCAAAAGAAGCCTGGAAATTCTCCAGTTAGGGTGCAAAAAGGCTTCTTGCCACCATCAGCTGTCCAAAATTGACAAGATCAAGTGGATTTGTTGAATAAAACAACATATTTTACTACCCCTAGCGCTGCCCCGTAAAGAGATACACACGTCTGTTTTGGACACAGTGAGGCTCCAGAGACAAATTAGCTAATGGCAGGTCACAGCAAGCGAGGAAATCCCTAAAGAAAAAGAAAACCAATATGGGAAATATCAATGCTCTTCTGCCAGGCAGAGGTAAAGCTGCTGATCTAGTTAATGATTTAGTTAATATTTAACTAGGTTGTGTCTTACTCGTGGTCTGTGGCACAGTGGAACCAATTTTCACGTTCACAGACTGTAAAGTGATAACGAATGCGTGTGTAATGTGTTGACTTTGTCGCTTTAAGTGTCTAACTATCATTTTAGAAACAAGAAAAAATCCACGTTTAAAAAAAATGACAAAAACCCCAACCCTTCACCGTGGAAAACCAATATGAGTGCCGGGATAATATATAAAGGCAATTACATTATTATTTTAAGCAACTGTAAATTTCTGGATCTAATACATTTTTGTCACAAACTTACTAAGTGGCATTTATAAAATAATCATGATCCTGAAATATACATGAATCATGGAAACGGTGTCATTCCAGGGAGCCAATGAAGTTGGTCACTGACAAATAATATTCGTGGCTGCTTTGCTTAAAAAAAAAAATCACTGCCACTCTAGGGAAAAACTTTGTAACGTATGCCTTTTGCCTTGTTTGCCAATTTAAAAAGAAAAGAGGTTTAAATAAGGGCTTGCTCTTTTCTAGCACATCTTTCTCTCCGTATGAGCCTGAACAAACGCGGGCAGAATTAGCTACCTAATTTGGTAGAACGCTAAACACCTCTGATGGTTTGTGGTGCTCAGCCTGCCACAGGATGAGGCTGCTTTACCTTAGCACGGAGTCGGAAAAAATCAGATAACATGGACAGGAGCAAATGGCACAGCAGATAAATTACTGCTCAGCTTATACATTCTCTATATTAATGCAAAAAAAGGAAATCCTCATCGGTCATTCTTGATTACTCACAACTCCGGGCAAATAACGATCAAAACCCAGGCAGCCACCGGCTCCCGACGTACCCAGAATGTCGCACAGCCTCCCCATCTGCGTGTTCTGCTGCAGAGCGAGGTCAGGAGCGTGCTCACGGATGCGCTGGGAATACCCTGGAAAACAAGGAGAGCCCCTCGCAAACTGGACTCAGAAAAGCCCCGGTAACGTATTAGAAAGAAATCAGGCTTTGGGATTAAAAAAAGCTGTAATCAAATATTTCAAATGCCAAATGTGGTACAGGACTAAATGCGTCACCTTTATGAATTTGCTTTTATTAACAAACTGATGTATCATCATGTATTTATGCATGAAATTTTGAATAAAGACCTAGAAGTTACAGACACGTAGAGCTTTAGCATTTCAACACACAGACCGAGTATTTTGTTTGAGTCTTCTACGTTGCTGGATTTATTTTTTTTTTTTAAACACTGAAAAAAACATGACACCATCATTAAGCAAGAATCCCGGTACGTTTTGTCCTTCACACAGATAAAAGGCAGCAGAATCACTTCATTACGGAGGTGTTGGGCGATACCTGATCACTTTGTTGCGGAGGAGGATGAGTGGCAGCCTGGCTGAGCCTGGATCACCCGTTCCCAGCTCAGACTTGCACACTCACATTCAAACAGACCACAGTAAATTACATCCCCTATTAATTATAATCTCTAATCCTGTCATTGATTAATTCCAAATTAATCCGTGTGTATATACAGACACACAATGTGAGTTGCAATAGCTGTGGTGACATCAATACGGAAGTTCAGCCGAATATTCACTGTTTGGTATAAAATCCTGACCTATCCTTCCAACATTTCCATCTATCTGCACACGACCAATCAGCTGAAACTTATAAAAAAACTGATTTTGACTAAAATCTGCCCAGAATTTCAGTGCTTTCACATTGGAAGACAGTAATAGTGGCTCTTCCAGGCAAATGACAAGGACATTTACTGTAAATAATCGCCATTCTGAGGTGCTGCAGCAATGATGCTTTGCACACAAGAGAGCAGAACACAATAAAATGCAGAGAAATGGAAACCACCAATTCATTTTTTAGCAATTTCTTGTAAAACTTACCTATCGCAGTCAGCACGGTGGTACCAGGCACCTGTAGAACTACATCGGTGTAAAAGATAGTGATTTTTTTTGCCACTCTAATTTTAAGCTACAGTCATTTGAAAAAGCTTGCTCTGATCACTTAAACTTTAGTTTCAAGTCTTCATTCTGTGCTCCCAGGTGAGGACCAATTTTAAGCCACTAACGGTGCTGCCCAACAGTATCAAGACATTTAGGTTTTAAACGTAGACAGCAGCAGATTGCCCTGCACTAAGCTGGCCTCTTGAAAACACATTTGCTTTTCAGAACTGAATCTGAGCAGAACAATAACATGCAAATATCATGTGGAAAATCAGTAATTATTGATAATAATCAGTAATTATTAATAGTTAAAGTAGCAATCAAACAAGAGTTAAAACTTGAGTGCTGCTGTGGTTCTGCAGATACACTGTAGTGTTACACCAACTACCACATGTACTCTTTTTAGATGTATTAATAAAATCTATTAATTCACAACATGTTAGCTTCCGCTGACATGACCCTGCTAAGTTTAATGAGGGGAATATTCACTCCTTGTGATTCATTCACCTTCCAATGGACATCGTGAACAACATTAATCCTCACACCAGACCTATTCTGAACAATCATCTGATAATGCTTATTAAAGGCAGAGGCTTAATAACTTCCTTTCCTTGCAGCCTAAACAAAATTCCACCCAAATGAATGACATATACTGGGATCAGAGCCTACGTGGCCCAGTACAACTGTAACCTGGGACATCACTTCTGTTTAGTTACATACGACTGGATTATGTGTCCATAATTTGGATACATAATTTCCATAATATCCATAATTTGGATTTCCAGCATTTGGGCTCAAATGCAGGAAACATTTCAGATAAATTTGCATTTTCCAGAAGCGAAAGCTCCTACTTTGATTCAGGGAATCACTACTTCAGTGGCTCTGTACCTGCAGTCTGGGTAAGTTAAACTCCAAATGGTGCCTAAAAACAGCAACGTTGACAAAAGCTGATGGTGACGGAGCACTCGAGGATGTGGCTGCTCATTTGC